CCCACAGTAAGTCTACAGCAGAGACAAAAAATTAAACCAATTACGTGAGCTAGGAATCAAGAAATCTGTTCAAGTCCTGCCTTTGCTCTGTGACAAGGAAATTCGCTTCCTTATTCTGTGCCTTTGTTGACATCTGTGGCATGAGAATATTTCTTTCTCTCAACCTTTGGCTGTCTTATCTATTTAGGGAACAAATTCTCAAGCCAGAATTATTTCTTACAATGCATCTGTGCAGCACTGAGAAAAAGGCAATTGTTGTCTTTGTTGCATTGTTGTTGCTGTAGAACAGCAGTGGTTTGCAGAAAACACAAGCCGGGAAAAGCAACCCTTGCTTAGTTTAATTTAATTATTAGGAACTCTTTGACATAAGTGAATAAATTACTGCTTTATTTTTACTTGATGCTACCTTGCTGTTTTTACCAAAAGAGAATGTAGGGGGTTTCTGTAAGTGCAGAATTGATTAAAATATACAGCTACATGCTATGCTGCTACAAGAGTTGTTTAGTGCCAGCTGATGGCGAAGCTAGCTCAAGCTTAACCTACAATTACTGTAAGACTGATGTAAAAATATTTATATAGCCAATAAGAATCAAGTACTCTTCTTTATTAACCTTATGCAAATTCAGAAATGCCTACAAAGTGAATACGTACATTGAATTTAAGCAGCATGTTGGACTTGTTTAAGGGGACAGCTCTGCAGAGCTCCCTCCCAGGCGTTGCTCCCCGGCAGCTGCCGGCTCCGGGTGCCAGGTCGTGCTGGCAGGGCAAGCGGGTAGGCACGGCCAGATTCAAAGCTGAAACAAGTTTGTCTGTTAGTGGCGGTGTGGGCCACGGAGGAAAACAAAAGCCAAAGAATTTAGAAGTTTTAAATAAATAGGAATCCTGCCTCGGTTACAAGGAATACTAGTTTGCTGTAACAGGAGTGATGCCAGGTGAATGAATGATCAGAGACAAATTTAGCGGGGTAACAACCGCAAGTGCAATCAGTACTAGTTTATCTTTCCTGCCCGAAGATGGAACCAGTTAAAACTACACCATTCCTGGCAGATGCTTGCCTAACGTGTGCTTGAGAAATTCCACAGATGGAGACGCTGCAGCTTCCCCAGGCAATTTATTCCTGGGCTTAACCATCCTCACACTTAGAAAGTTTTTCCTAATGTCTACGCTAATCTCTGCTGCAATTTAAGCTCATTATGCCTCCTCCCAGTCCCAGTGGACATGGAGAACAGTTTATTCCCTTCCACTTTGCAGGTAATCACAGGAGACTCTGAAGACCTATTACCTCCCCCATGTTGCTATCAGGTGTTAGCACATTCATATCTTTTCATGCTATAGGAAAATGCACAATATAGTCAAAGTGCTACACATATAGCCTTATGAAATAAGACTTATTTCACAGGAAGTACCTTTAGCATACTAGTTATAAGAATATCTGGGCGAGTCCTGTATTTGACTTTTCATTTCTAAATTCTACATATCTAAATGTATTACAAAGTATCACTTAAATACTATTTTGAACAAAGAAGCCTGACACATTTTAGAGCAAATGTCACATTGTTGGAGGACTAGTAGTTGTATCAGTTGCATATTGACTAAAAAATTACTAGCGTCGTGGTTATGATTATACTAAACAACATAAAAGCAGCTAATGGTGTAATCACCAGAACAGATGTCTGCTAGTCAAAAGAAACAGGTTCTGCTCCAGAGCACTAATACCAATCACTGATGGTGGACATGTCATTTAGGCCAACATTTGCAAGAGTATCCAACAGTAGGAACGCGCAGCTTGGGCAGCTATCTTAACAGGTGCACCAGCTGAATTACTGCTGAACTTAGTGCCTGACTCCAACTACAGAAAATCCTTCATTTTCAAGGCAGTAAAAACTACTGGACACTTACAAAAGTGTGAGGCAGTTAAAGAAGGAGGAGCTAGCAATACCCACACAGCTTTGTAAAGGTCATTCTCAACGACATAACTTAAATCTCTGTGTTTGGGGCTCGGGGCAGAGATTGGTTTTGCTCAGGAAAACATCCATCTAAGGGACACGTTTTTTTAATATGTATAATCATTGCAGCAGCAGCACAAAACATCACATCCGAGATGGGGCAGAACTCCAAACCTGCATGTAGTAACCAGACACTGATTATCTTGAAGTACTGGCCAGCAGAAAAAAAGTACTTACCAGCGTGCTTTTGTAACATTCAGGGCACAGATGCCACTTGGCTTCTAATACCACAGTGTTATGAGCCTCTTGTGAGAGACAACCCATGATATTTTTTCCTGCAAGCAGTCAACAGTGATTGATGACTCTATTAGAATGACGGCTATGACTCCATGTTTTCTATATGGCCCTCAACACTGTCTAAAAGCAATGACTTAAGGAGCTTTTTTAGATCTCAATTCCTCTGGTCGAGAGTCAGTATATCCTCTTTGTTCAGCTGCTTGTTGTATAGGGTCAGAAAAGGCTTGTTTCATGATTACTCCGGCTTATGAACTTCTGCCTTGACCTGCATTTCAAGAAGATTGCTAATGAAAGGAAGATTAATCTTGTAAAAGCAACGTCCTTATTCCAGCTGCACACATTCGTACCTAACACAGACAGAGCTCTGGCCCTGACCAACTACCATCTCTTCTCCTCCGTTCTGCCTGCCTGTCTTGCTATTTCTTACAGACTCCTGTTTGTTTCGAGCATTTACATAAAACACTGACACACCACAAGGAATTTTCCTACCATTTATAAGCCAAAATAGAACTAGTAAATCCAATCCATTTGGGCTACCTCTGTCCGCTGAAGCACGTGGATCTCAGTACATCGAACATTAACAGGTGGGTTTCTTCCCCCTGATACCTACCAAAAGTGGTACAGGTGTCATCTTTTCCAGGTTATGTTATGTGCCCACTTTGTTAACCAAACTATTTGGAATTCCCCTAATACTTTGTTTTCCCTTATGTTCTCTAGCTCTTATTTCACTCTGTTCCCCCAAGTCTTACCCCTGTAACTCCCCACTCTATCCTTTTTCCATTTTCATTGATTTTTCTACATCATCACTAAGTCACCTTTTCGTCAGTCCTGGCCTATTTCTGCCTTCACACATTTATCTGGACCCATCTTCACTTTGGGTCTCTTTTCTCCAACAAGCAAGGTCACCATTGTGCTTTCAGGTAACAACAGTTTATGCGTGGGCTCAGTCCTGTATTTTGTAATATTATACACACTCAGCTGAGAAGAGATGGAGAAACAACAGAAATTGTGTATGTTTGCTCTGCAAGTGTAGATGTATTTATACCTGCACACACACACGTTGTGATACAAGATCCTGAAACACTTGACAGTGACCTTAACACAAAGCGTGCTGTTTTAGCCTATAGTTATCCCCCAAACTAGGGATTTTGATTAATATTTGCTAGTCATGTTGGTTCCCATGGTTAGGTTCAAGGCCCTACGTATCAACACACTCCTCAAACAAAAACAATAAAAAACCCAAACACCAATGTGTCATCACTTCCTAAGCTGACATAAAAAAATTCATCCTTTGCCCAACATTAGTCATGTACCCTCAAAGCAAAAAAGCCAGTTAAAACTGGAAGAAATACAGATGATGCACATCTATCAGAACAGAGCCTGGACGCTACTGCACCGAGGGCATTATTTATACTTAATTCAGGAAGATCTTTATGTTTTTCAAACCTACCAAAACCAGTTTAGATTATCAAAGAATCCATATCTAGCTCATGACAAACTATAAAATATTCCACATACAACTCACTTGCTATGTCTACCTGGTACCAGCTCAAGTTTGTTAGCTTTCTGCACACACAAGGCTCAGCTTCCTCTCCATCACCACCTTCTTTGGAACGATCGGTTACAATTTCTGTTGTCAGCAAGTCTGTTTTCTTAAAGGTAATGAAGTCCTCCCACTGGCTACACAGGCACTGATAACTCAGAAGAGAAGTTGGAAGTATGAATCCAATCACCACTCCAAAATACCCACACCTTAATCATCTTTGATAAGCCTCATGGGAGTTTTGTTCTGTCCCCCCTTACTATTCACTACAAAGTGAATACTTAAGTACTTCCCAAACACCTGATACAAGCTATTATTAAGAGAGCAGTCTGAGTCTGTTCTACAGAGTTGGATTAGACAGTACCGCCAAAAAAAGCTAACCAGAAAGCATTTCTCTTTATTTCCACAAACCAAGCAGGAATGTGCAACCCTGAATACCTTCTTTTTAGCAGATGGATTTGCAGGTTTAGTTTCTTGATCAGATCTACATTCCCATTTAGAAAAACACACAGTGTCTACTTTGTTTTTCTAATATTACTTTCCTAAGAAATTTTTAACTTGTCCAAGTTCAAGCATCTTCTCACACCCACCCTCCACTCTAGAATCCTCAAGAGGCTGACACAAAATTTGATTACAGATTAGACTTCTTACCAACTAGCAAATAAGGCAAAAAGACATTGAGAAACAGCACATTTTCCTGGGGTTTTGTGGCTAGAATAATATTTCCTCTCTGGGGAAACCCCTCTTTTCTACCTTTCCACTTGTTTTATTCCATAAACCCTGGGCTACCAGGTCAGAGCTGTAGTCTTGGAACAGACCACGCAGCAGTAGGCTGAAACTCTACATTTACTCCCCGCTACCCTCAATTCTTTCCAAGCATCATTAATTTTAGGCTTTTATGCAGTATGTGGGGGAAAAAAAAAAAAAAAAACACAAAAACAAAACAAAACAAAAAAACTACCACATGTTTAAGTTCTTCATTCCAGAAACAGTTAATGATACTCTGGTAACGATAAAGTCACTGAGATAAACTTAATACAACTTTAGGCTTTCACAACCCTGTGAACATTGCCTGGAGAGCCAAGGTTCCCAGGAAAAAGATGAAAGGTTCAGAAATTTTCCGTCAGAAAGATCTAGAACTCAAGAATTCCTGTAACTTAAAGGTTTGGTCTTAACATTTGTTTCACAAACAGTAAAGGCTGCTACACAATGTCTTTGTTTTCAAAAAACCTGTGGATATTTATTGAACAGCTATGAGACAACTGGAAGCTTTCATAATTAGATACTACAAAATGTGGTAAGCTTTTATAAAGGTATACGCAAAGTTGCCAACAGGACTCAACTAATATAGCTACATAAAGCAGATAAAGAAAACAGTTTCACTAACATTATAAGCAGGCAAGTAATGACAGATTAAGACATACAACATACAAACAAGTATTTCTTAGTTAAAAATAACATCAGTATAAAGACTGTTCTTCTCACTTCTATTATTTCAGTTTAGTCTTGTTAGGAGCAGGTGGGCATGTCTTGTAGAGAAGAAGTATCACCAGAAGTCTAAGTAGACCTCTAAGTAGACCTGAAATAAATAAACTGTATTTCAGCAAGCAATATTTAGAGTAATCTTAAGCAGGTAAAACATTCAACATTCTATAAAAGCAGAAACATGTAGAAAGACTGCTTTCACCTGTCTCAAGATACCATATATAATAATTTAGTGATCAAAAAGCTGATCTTATCAAGTTTTTTTATATGGCACCGTCTTAATGCATTTAAGAATGCATTGTGCAGAAATGCTAAGTGATTCAAATTAATATGCAAAAAGATCACTATGAAACAACTTAGTCTTCTCCCTTAAGTAACTTATTTTTAGAATAAACCAGAGATGACTCACACTACTGTAACACTGAAATATAAACATCATTCTTAGTGCCCTAAGGTTGGCACAAGCAACTTGTAAATGTCAGAAAAGCATATAAACCTTGTTAATGTTTACAGAAATTCATTTAAAGACAGAAACAGGTCCAAAAAGATGCCTGTCTAAATGCATTGCAATTACGTTACAATTATTTTCCAAATACACAGATATGCTCTGTCTTTTCTCAGCTCATTACTGACTCAAACAATTTGCCCTTCTGGGATCAATTGTTTGCTAATAAATAATTGTTTACAGTCACAAAATGATATTAAGGAGTATTCTTATTAGTTTTCCTTCTACAGCCTAATAAGATTCAAAACTAGCTGATTCCCAAGAGTCTAACCTTAACCTTGCTGTGTTTAACAGCCCAGGAAATGATGAACCATCTGTTTCAGAAAATAATGGAGGGACAAGAGGAAATATTGTTTAATTGTAGATTAACCTCCTCATACAGCAGAATGAAGCATCTACAGAATTAGCAACCATAACTAGCAGTGAACAAAAATAACTGAAAGCAGTTCTTACCATTACAAGACAATAGCAGCAAGTATTCTTTTACCACCTTTTTAAAAAAAAAAAAAAAAAAAAAGAAACAAACAAAAAAACAAACAGAACAAAACAAAAAAAAAAAACACAAACAAACCCTCCCAAATGTATGTAGCAAGCACAACCCAAGTTTGAAAATAAATTTGAATCATCATCTTCGGACTTTTTTTTTTTTTTAATTGAGGAAGCCCCAGAAACACATACTGAAATAGTTCCGGTTTTATTTTTCCATGAGTATCAAAATTATTTTAACACAAATATCTCCAAGTGAGAGATAATGTATTTATCCTTCTGTAACTTCGACCTCACATCTCTGCAGCGATAAAATGGCTGCTCTGAAGCAATACACAAGTCACTTAAAGGAGGTGGGGGTGTCTTGAGGTTTTAAACTCAAAAACTTTTGATCACTTATATGTCTATTTACATAGCTACTTAGATACTAAATAATGGAGACAACCAGATAAAGTGTAAGAGTGTGAGTACTAGAAGGAAAAAAAAAAAAAATAGCAATGACAAACCACAGGAATTTGAAAATAAAGATAACTGCTCCTGTGCTAGCATAATGAAGAGTAGTGCAATTCTGCACTGTGATGGCAATTTTTCTGTGTAATACTTACACCAAAGCAAGCTTAACAGAAATCTTTTACCTCCATCAATCAGTTTGCCCCATTTTGACAGCAACAATGATAGAAAAGTGTGTTATCAGAAGTCTGCAACAAACTCCAATACACATGAACTGAGAAAGCTTTTCCTTGATTTTACACAACCTTCCCAGAACAGTATCTAGATTCCCTTCTGACTGTGACAGCTGGATGCATACTCAGTGTGTAAAGATTTCATTAATTCTAAGTTTTAAATACCCAAACACAGTAACATTTGCTCAAATAAATTATTCTTGAATTCTTCACTTAATTCTTGAAGCAATGAGCTAGCAATAACTCCACAGCTTCATATAATAGCACCTATTCAAAAAGGATAAGAGTTTGACATTCTTCTCCTACTAAACAACCAGGCACAATTTTATCCATCAGACGTCTATCAACCTACGGATATTGAAAGCTTGGGCGAACAAGATAAAATCAAAACCAACCCTACTGTCAAGCTGCACTATCTACTGGCATCAATAATGCTATTCATGAATTTAGGAAAATTAATAAATCTTGGGATGAATGTTCAGAAAGTCTCAAATACAGGTGAAGCATACTCACTTAGGTTTTGTTTCTGCATCTGTCACTTGGCGAATATAGATACCATCTTCAGGATGTTCAATGTCATCCATTTCATACATATATGAAGAAGCTATTGCAAGGGTAGTTCCATCATTGCTGAAGGCAAGCGATGCTATGCTTGTGGGATACCGATGGAACTGACACAGCCGTTTTTTATTAAATGGATCCCAAATATTTACAAATCCATCGGAACCTCCTGAAAATTAATTTTTAAAAACTGTTTGTAAATTTGGGAGAACAGTAAGACCGAAAAGATACAGCAAAGGAAAAAAAATACCCGGAATTACTCTGTCAGTAAAAACACAGGCTTACAGAGTTGCCTAATGCAGTGAAGAGCACAGTAAGTATTTCCCCAAATCCCTGTTAAAGCAATTAACTCTCACTGCATGAAATAATTTTAAAACCCTGCTTATTGCAAGAAATACAATTTAAATGCTTAAAAAGTAAGGGCATACAAAGTAAAGGCTGACTTGTCTAAATCAAAACTAAAGGAAATGATGCAAGTGTTACAAAAAATTGAGTATCTACTCTACCTGTAGCAAATGTGTTGTGGACGTTATGAAAAGAAATAGCATTAACTGGATAAATCTGCTCAATGTTATTTTCCTTCAAACGGTGACATTTGAATGCGTATTTCTTCTTCTGGATTTCTGGACTTGGATCCAAATATTCCACGGCAACACGACCTTCAATAGAACTTAAAACGTAACCCTACCAAAACAATGTGGAGATATGCATTTTAGAAGCTTACAGCTGGAAAAGAGATTGCAATACAATCTATCTCATACTCCTCTAAATTAAAATAAATGAAATGTAAATGGTCTTAAATTAGGTACAACCAGGAATTGTTACCACAGATCCATGGCATCATCAATAAAATCTGCTTCTAAGAACACAGTAATGTACAAAAAAAGCTCTCCAAGAGAGACTCTCATTGCACTATAGTGTTAAGCTGACAGACTTTTAATTACCCCTGCAGGTCCAAACACAAGTTGATTTAGGAAAAAAAAAAAATAAAAATGTTAAGAGTTGAGAATCCCTTGTATTTTCCCATCTAGCCCCCAGGGCCTAAATATTTGAAATACTAGATACTCACGGGACTATTTAGTTTCAGAATTACTTTACATTAAAATTAGTTCAGAGCTTTATACTAGCAACTAAACACTCAAGTTGAAATAGTATTTTCAGTGAAACTGGATTATTAAGTGGTGCCCACTTATCCAGTTAATTATAGTCCTAACTTAGAGCAACCTGAGATGCTTTTATTATAACTTCTGAGTTAAGCCCATAATAGATCTTTTCAGAAATAGGATTGTAATGATACCTAGCTATAGTAAGGTTCTTTAAAATCCATAATAAGATACAATCTGGAAGATCAGCTTGTTTTACTATAACTAGAACTGAAAATGGACAAAGCATTCATGCCAGTTCAAGAACAAGTAACTAGGTCTCACAATTCCTGTAGTATCGTTATGTACATGGGAAAATTCCCTTCCAAATTAGTTTGTCAGAAAAAGCTAATCTTCTTGCTTTACTTCGGAAGGAGAAATACCACAGATACACTACGTTAACCTACATGGAACAGCTGTATAATCATCTAAATTGTACAATTCCCCCTAGATAATGGATCGTGGGTTCTTGAGTGCATGACACAGACTCAGAGTTAAAAAAAATATATATATAAATGACATTCATATAGTTCTAATCCTGCCCCTGTTCACAGCCTATTGAAGAACCTAGGGCTACAATGCATAAAGGGTGCTGAGCAACCATCAGTTCTATCTTCCTCTCTCCTACTGTAATTTTGGGGGTGGGGGGGTTGTTTTTTATTTACATGTTAGCATTGTGATGCATTAAATAGGCTACTTAAAAAAAGAGACAAAACTGAGGAAAAAAAATGAAAACAATATGCTGGTATGTCAGTGGCAAACGTTCCTAAGCTGCGCTACTAAAAAGAGTTAACCAGGAACAAGAAGCCTCAACACCATTTTATTTTTCCCCCTCCCAAAGTTTGATTACAGAACTTTAAAGACCAGATTTGAAAATGAAAGAAAGATGCAGAAAACTTGAAAAATAAACCACCATTTTCCCTAAAGAATATTCAGCAGAAATACAATTACTGACACGGTTCCCATACCTGTTTATTCGGAAATGCTCTGATACAGCGGGTCTGGTATTTCAGACTTGACTCTCTTCGCTGCTGAACATAACCCATGTTCCGCAAATCCCACACCAGCACTCTCCGACCTGCTGTCCCCACAATTAGTCTATCTCCAGACACAGAAAGCGTGTAGACCTTTGAAATAAAATTGCAACATTAGCCTGGATATCCATTGTTCTTTGTACAAAACGGAATGTCGGCAATGCGCAATAACAAAACAGGCAACATCAACAGTAAAGTCTATAGCTATAAAATTCCCTTCGGATTTAATTTATAACTCAAATTTAGGATAAACAGCAGTAGTGTGCAGCTGGTTAGTGATAATACACTGATGTAGCATTTCAGAAGTTCACCCTTAATTCTGTACCCTACCACACAGCTGAAAAATCAAGCCCAATGCAGTCCCATATTACATATAACTAATTTAGGAGTGAAAAAAAAAATAATATGCATAGGTACTTGTGCAACACTAAGTTTCAAGCATGTCTGTTCAATTACCAGTCTCCAGATCTCAGTGATATCTAAATAACCTTCCACACATGAGATTTCTTCCTTTTGCTGGTATTACCCATGTTCGAAATGCTACACATGTACAGAAGTATTTATGTATAATTCAGAAGGGAAATCAGTATTATTCAAGATTTCCTCAAAAATCATTCCAAGCATTAAATTTATTGGCTATTTCAACACAAGAGGAAAACAGATACAAAGTAACATAGGGAGGAAGAGCATGGATACTGGAATTCATCTTTCCTTGGTATGCATAGCTTTCATTCCCCACCATCAATTCATGAGCCTGCAGTTTAGTCCTATGATACCACATCACACATCTTCTCCAGTTTCCTCTATCTCCTAATCATGTGTTCTTCTTTCTAAACAGAATACTTCAAGTTGAGCTTCATGTTAATAAAGGGAAATAAATTGCCAAGAAATCATTACAAAAACGGTATGCTTGTATACTTGAATAAAACTAAGTGAAATTGAAGGAAGCAATATGGTTGACATCATTAAAATAAGATTATGGCTCGGAATTTCACCTCTACTCCAAAAATTGGCTCAGAGGTTCTAATTTTTATCAAATTTCTCATGAAAATATTCAGCACATAGTAATAGCTGGAAACAGAATGATTTATTATTAATCTAGACATATGTTAAAAAAATAAAAAGAAAAAAGGTTCAGTCAAAACCTCTGTGCTAACAAATGAACTACAAGTTGTTGATACACAAAGCAAAATGGAATCTAGCTAACTAGAGCTGTCCCATCACAGAGCTGCTAACACAAGCAAAACACAAGAATGAGCTTTTTCAAAAGTGATATAATACAGCTAAATACATAGGAAACAGCTATTGTATATCCCTCAGATCAAGAATCAAAAGTGTAAGAGATCTTGTATCCTGCCAGAAAGATTCAATTTACTTTTGGCATGAACTTTTACAATTTCACTCAAGCACCCAGTTTCACTTTCTGGTTCTCCAATAAAGCCCAATAAAACTATTTGGTTCTGGTAAGACTGCACTGAAATATCAGATAAAACAACTTTTCCCTTCATTTGCTATAAACATTTCTGGAGAAATTACGGTTTCAAAAAGTTTGTTTCTAATTAAAAAAGCTAAGCAGACAGGTGTGTATGTATGTGGGGGCGTGTGTGTAGTTATATAAAAAATTTCCTTTAACCAATCCACATTCATGCAGCATGCATTCTTGCTCTAAAATAAGATTATTGAGTTTCCCTCTTAAGACTGAGGTCTTAAAACAGGAAATGTCTTAAATATTCATACAGGAGTTGCCCAAAATTTCTGATCGTCCCAATTGCCAAATCCTGCTTACATACAAAAAGGGCAAGAAAACTTTGAGCCAACAGTAGTTACACACCTTAATGAGAGTTTTTCAAATCTCCCTTCGTCACTGATGTAAAAATTGATCCAAAAATATTAATAAACTTTATATAAAATGTGTTTTTATATATGTAAGGAAACAAAGACGTAAAGAACATTAAATATCTTAAGCCTTCTTTACAAACTGATGTCATACCTGTATAGTAAGTATTCTTTCTACACCACACAATCATAAATCAAATGAAACCATTGTCATGCAGTTGAGTAGGCGTACACATTTATCAAAGGCAGTATTAAAAAAATGACATAATGAACCTTGCTGAACCAATAAGCAGCTTGATTCACTGTGGCTGTCCATTATATGATATTCTGTCAGCAATTTATCACAGTTCTTTACATGCTACATACAACTATAAATCAAAACTAGAAATAATGCAATTACTTTATTCTGAACAAAGGTCTTGTCAGAAGTAGATTCAGCTATGTTGTAACAAAAGTAACAGCTATTTAGATGCAATAGGGAATGTAATGATGGCTCATAATTACGACCTGGCAATAAGATGTGAGAGCTAAATGAAATTTTAAAAAGGTATAGGCAAAAAAAAATTATTCATATGTAAAATTATCCAGCAATGCACCCTGTGTTTAAGAGTCTATGAAAAAAACAGCAACTACTGTTCAATAATTCTTTCAATGACACCACTGTACGCAGCATAAAGATTAACACACCATATAATCATCAAAAAAAGCTTAAGACATTACATTTTACCATATTTCTACTGGTCTTTCATTAGGCAAGAAGACTGTAGTATTAGGAGAACATCTGAATTTACTAGGCATTAGTGCAACGATGAGTAAATGAACAGAATTGCTGGTTTTGTTAATCTTAATACAAGTGAAAAAACAAAATATTATCTCAGGCAACATAAATGGCCTCCTGATATATCTCTATGCACATTTCCAATCAGACCTTATGACTGTCAGGATCTGATATACCTAAAAGTCTTAATGTTTAAGAAAAATGATAGTGCATATTACAATTAAGCCAAGGATTATTAACAACTGCATGAATTTCACATGCTATTTTTGTTAGGTTTTCCTTCCTCGAGTTTGTTTTAAATTATAAGGATTTGGTCCGCAAGTGCTAAGAATTAAATTACGCTCTCCTATTGATGAAAGCTCAAAGCCTTAACCTAAAATCATAATATATTCTGAATATCAGTATTTTTAAACACAACATTTTCACAGCTTAAAAACCATTAAACATAACTTTTCAAATTCAATTCAGCTTAAGACAGTGTCCTGTATAGCGATGTTTAGCCAGTCACTGGATGTATAATGTAACATATCACCTGGAATACAGCATCCAGTACATACCTTTTCAGGCTGAGAGAAAGTTCCTGCATTACACGGAGTTCTGGGATCCCACAGTTTAACTGTTTGATCCCAGCTTCCAGTCACCATGACATTCACTTCTGGGCAATACTCAACACACCTGATAGGAGCATCATGAGCACCAACAAGGTTTTCTGTAAGAAAATACAATATATCGTAACTTTACTGGCTCTACAAACAGTCAGAATGTGCTGAATAAAGAATTAAAAAAGGACACACTACTGCAGTACAAACACACTATTTTTTGACATTCCCATTGATGTGCTACGAGTTCCTTTAAGGACAGATCGGTCTGCAGAAGCATCGCTTTTGAAAAGATCAGGATTGTTAAATTTAAACTTAGTCTCCTGAGATTACGAAAGGAAGTTAAGAATTTCAGGCAGCCACAGAGAGATCTTCGAAGATATAAAGAAGTGTTCCGTACCACATGGCATCACCACTTTTGACACAGACACTAATACAGAAAGCAACTTGTATATGTTGAATGTATTAGCATTATGTATCCAGCTTGTCTATATTAGCATTATAATGAAATTAAATAATATTACATTTAACTAAAAATATTAATATAAACGCTTCTAGAAAGTCATTTATAACAGAATTATTTGACCTTTTTCATAACATTACTGAGGACACAAGTTTGTCGAGCCCTGGCTATTAGCTGATTCTGGTGACCACAGTTGTCTCAGGCTGAAATTCATTCTTCTCTAACACACATATAAGCACACGAAAATGTTTGTCTAACTAACTCCATGTTTTGCACCAGTGAGGCACTGGAACTGTTACTTTCAAGCAATGTTTTGTTAGAAAAAAAAAAAAAGTAGTGTAAGGCCATGATGTCTGGCAAAGCAAAGGCTTTATATACATTCTGCCATACATGTGAAAGATCATTCTAAATATGTCTAAACCGCAAACCTTTGAAAAACAACATGTTCAGTTTTAGTTCAGCTTAGCTAATTTCCCCTAATTGAGACACAGTAGCCTATGGCAGAGCAGGATTATCATCACAAATCCAATTCAAGGTGTGCTACAAGCATCTACCAAACTTTCTGGCAACCTGCCAAACACTTCCATGCTTTTAGGTGGTACTTATTAGGGCCTGCTAAAGGCACAGATGAGGTGAACCTCAGTCAGCGTGACAGGTACATAGCTATTTCCTTTCCTTCCATTTTCACCTTCAAATAAGTACATCGAAAAGAAATACAGGTGTAAAATACATCGATGAATATTCATCATGGGAAAAGTTTAAGCCCTCAGTTTGGCAGCAACTGATTCCTCCCTTCTGTTAAGGGTGTTACAGCACAATCTTCAATTACACAATAATTGAATTGTTCAGCACCTCAGTGATCAGAAAGGGGTGGCTAGCAAAGGAGACTGTTGAGCACTAGCACTGACAACTTAAATCAACAGAGGCTACTACTTAAAGCAAATATCCCCCATCTAAAAGATTTGAAACATATTTGCTTGTCTAAGTATATAAATGTGAAGTTTAGGCCAGCTGTTGAGACCACTTACAAAATTCAATCTGCTTACCTTGGTCCGTGTTTAGATCGTGCATTTTCAATTGCTGGTCTAATCCTCCACTCCAAGCATGAGTAGGATCCTATAAAGCAAAAAATTTCACCTTATGATATGCATTACATTTCCATGGCTGCTATACATATAATCTCTTAAACTCATAATGCAAGACTTGCTTTCAAGAGTTTTGGGAAGATGGGAATTAAGACACAAGACATTAAGATCCAGCACAGACCTAAACAGGCAGATGACAGAAAGTTTGCAAAATGTTTAAGTGCTCTGAGCTATACGATTTTTTTAATTTAAAAGTAAAACTAAAAAGAAACAAAAGCAGTTAGAGGCTAGATCAAACTGTTTCTATTTCTGTAACAGCAAAACACATAATGCTTGTTTTTAAATGACCATCAACCTAAGCCAGTTACACCTAATTCAAGTGTATTCCTTCTAAAATTAATTTGGAAACTAGAAACTATCTGAGAATGTGTGCTGATCCACAGTGCGATATTAGCTATGTGACAAAATGTTCAGTGAAAAAAGCACAAGCAGAATTAAAAATTTAAACTGATCCTTAAAACATTCAGTAACACATTGAGATCAAGTCACTGGAGGACATGTGAGAATACAATGCAAAAAAAACCCACACCTATCTGAAACATTATTCTATTTAAGAAAAAAAAATAAGACACAAAACAAAAAATTGACACCAATAAACTTAAACCATTTATATTTCAAACCAAATACATTAAAAAAAACAGAAATAAAGTATCTGGTAAATGGCTCACTTGGAACAATGCCGTGTTTCCAGAAGAACCAAGTATAAGAAGGTTAAAAAGAAAGCAATAATTGGCTACGCGCATTTATTGTGACTAACAATTTCTGGCTATATGCTACCAGTACAACTCTTTGTAAGAAGCACACACACAATTTACTGTACCATTGCAGAAACAACACTAACCAGCTCAACTCACTTTTGCCTACCACTTCTACCAGAAGTAAGTTACATGTGTGCCTGCATCCTTCACAGGAAATACCTGTATTTAGGACTAGAATGATGTTCATTAAAAGAAAAATCATTGGCAGAGGTAAGCTACTTTTTTTTAAAGCTACAAGTCAGGTAAGATTTCACTATCCCTTTAATTTCAGTGACTAAATTTATCACGTATCTTGGGCACTATATGCCTATAAAATAATAATTAAAACAACCCACTTCACACACTCACATAAAAAGCGCAGTCAAGGACAGCTCCTGAATGTTGATATTTGAGTCTCATGGTGTTGGCAGGAACATCATAGAGCCGGACAGTTGTGTCCCAGGATGAAACAAGCAGAAACTGAGATGTATTTGGACTAAACTTTACTGATGAAATACCATCATCTGGAGTTTGATTTAGTTTGAATTCGTTTGATCCTGTCATCTGAAGAAAAGACAGCCACGCACAGATACAGTTTTAGTAATAACAAGAACATAAGCCTAGAAAGTTAGCTAGCTAATGGATACACCTTAAAGTTAACAAAGTAGACCTGAAGAGTTTACTAACTGTTACATAGCAAAAGTTCAGAACACTCAGATTTCTGACAAACTCTATAAATTCCAAGATGCTAATTCCTACTCAAAACCTCAACAAATTCCTCCCCTTAGAAAGAGGTTACATTTAAATGGCCAGTATAACATGGAATAAACAATACAAAAAGTTTATCACCTATAAGCTTAGATATTGTTACTCACAAATGTATTTTTTCTCCCCACTCTGTGTGTATGGCTGTATTTTTACAATTTTTAAATATTTATAAATTACTGTGAGCACCAAGAAGTTACTTTTAAAAATACAAGCAAGCAGAAAGGAATCAGATTTGAAAACTCCAACAAAAAGTGTTGATTTGTTCCTGATGTGGTATGACTGTCATATACTTCTGAGAATTCCAATAGGATCATCTTTTAAATAGTTTTGGGCTCTCTGCAACTTTCCAATCCTTAGGCTTCCATAAATGCTATAAAACATTTCCAGTGAAAGCGCTTTAAAGATTTGGTTTTCCCTCTTAAGAGTCTAAAGAAGGTCAGATAAGACAGGAAAATTATGCTTCGTGTACTGAAGTGTAAAGCAAACATGTAAATGCGATATGACTAGAAAAAAAAAATATCAACAATTCAATGACAGATAAAGGATTCTGAAGGCAACTGCAGAACTCACTTCACAGCACTAGTTAGTTATACAGACAAAAATTCAAAGGAGACCAGCGGCTACGAACAGCAAATTTCAGCTGGGAAAACAGTCCAGACCTTACAAACACTCTGAAAGAAATAACTGTTTGTTATATGTACACCATCAAAACTTCTTTTAAGGCTTCAGCAAGCCTTAACAGCACATTTCCCTTATGCTGAAAGGACAGAGAAGTAAATTAGCTCAGATCTTCTACAATAGTGTCACTCCTAAATTTGTATGTACAGCTGCAGAGGTTAAATGTCTGAGAATAAATCAAGAGGGAATGAGCAGGTGAACTAGGATAAGGTTCAAATTTAGTACACAATTATTCTAGTTCACTGCTTTCCAGTAACTAAACAATCATCAAATTGTATAACAATGTGAGCATTACACATTCTTACACTGGAAAAAATTCCTAAGTGGGAGCTTTGGTGGGTGCTCTGTAAGTTATCCTTCAAAAAAAATCACTATATAAAGTGCTATTTATTCTATTTAAACACAAACTGAGTTAAAAAAAAAAAAAAAAAAAAAAAAAAGCCTTTTAAGAATAGGAAATTAAAACTTCTTTCTTAACCCATTTTTCCAGCTCTGCTTTGGGAATACTTGGGCAAAAGACAGACAGGCCTGAGAAATTGCGACACATATTTCTATACAAATGCTATAGAGAATTCAGCAGCACCTTCATCACATTCTAAATGGTGAAGTGCGCTTCAGTGAGTATTTCAGATGGATCTACGAAGACGATATCTAAAGGAATTCAGAACAGCTATGAAAATTAGACTGGACACACCAATTGTCTTGCCTGCTTGTGGCAGAAGACTCAGACAACAATCACGAGGGTTTGAGGCGCCTGGTACAACAGTTACTAACCAGGTCAAAAGCAATCAACAAGTAGCACTCCAGGAAGCAAAGTTACTTTAATCAGAAACCTGGAAAGATCTCCCAAAGGTATTTTTAATCCAGAATTATTTATAAAATACCAGAACTTAAATACATCCTACCTTTTATATCAGTTACCAAAAAGAAAAAAACAAAACAAAACAAAACACAAAGAGGTCTGCACATTTTCATAAATGTAACTGCTTCACAACCAGGATTGTCAAACAACAGTAACTGTCCTGCCCACTTCAAACAACAAAGTCCCGGTAAAACGCTCAAGCTCTGCAAGAGATACATAAAGAAGTTATAGGGAAGATGCACGCTGCTGAAACGGCAATGCTGCCTTAGCTACAAGGGTGCAGCTTTGCATTCCATCCTTCCCAATAGCTCATCGGTATTGAGTGGATCAGAAATCTGAGTTTTATAGCTCCTCTTAACAGGCTCCATCATTTAGCTAGCCGGCGAGCACTTCGCCAAGCAGGCCGCCGCGTTGAACGCCTTAGGGCGACCAGGCTGTACTTTCATCGAGAAGGCATTAACAGTACCGTTTTCATATTGCACGAGTTCCTCCCGCTGCTCCGGGCAACGCCGAGGGAAAGCTTTGTGTCTGCAGCCGCGGCCGACTGCGGAAAGGCTGAGGCGCCGAAAGCAGGGGGGCTCTCGCAGACCGGTCCCGGGGAAGCACGTCCGAGAGGCAGGAGATGCTGCGGCGGGAAGGGGAGAGAGTGAGGGAAAGGCCCGAGAACGAACGGGCGGAGGGCGGGAGAACGCCCGGGATGGCGGCGGAAGAGGCCGCGGCGCCCGGCTTGGCTGAGGGGAGGCGGCCTCCAGCCAGAATGGAGAGCGGGGAGGAGACCATCCCCCAGGCCGAGGAGACCGCTCCCCACCTCAGTGCTACGCAGCCGTACCGCGCAAAGCTCCGCGGCGCTCCGCGCCCGCCCCCCCCCTTCGTCCGGCCTCACCTCACCTCAGCGCCGCGCCGCGCCTCCGGCCTGCCCGCAACTGCCTCGCTGCTCGCCCGCGCATGCGCGCCCCGACACCACTCGCTCCGCTATTGGCCACGCCGCCGTTCCCGCCTCGCTATTGGCCCGTTCGAAAGGGCGGAACTGTGCGTGCCGGCGTGCCGCCGCCGCGGGGCATGCTGGGATGTGTAGTCCGCCGGTCCCGGCGAGGCATTTTCTGTTGGGGGGGGGGGGTGGTGTTGTTTTTTTGTTTTTTTGTTTTTTTTTTTTTGCGGGGGTGCCTCTTCCCGTCGCTCCCGTTACCTCCAGCGGCTGCTAACGCGGGGGTTGTTCCCCAGGAGGGGCTGCCGCGGCTTTACCCACCCCCCCGCCCCTGGCTGCTCGGTGCCGCTGTCGAGGTGAACGCCGGCTGCCACCCCCCCCCACAAGGGCCGCGGGGGTACCCACAGTTAATAACGGGCAAACCCAAAATACGAATTATTCCCTGAGAAACGAGTCCGCGAGGCGGAGCGACGGCACTGTGCTCACCTCGGTGTCCCCGGGCTGCAAACCGGGCTCTCCGGCTTAAAAACGAAGAGAGAGATCTCTCCTTCCCACGCACAGAAAATCGCCTTATTTGTCCCTTCGGAGCTTTTATTTCTCTCTCTCTTTTTTTTTTTTTTTTCCGTTACCCTGCGAAGGTACCCTCATTATTGCTTCCGTGACCGTCCCCCGCGCTCCATACCGGCCGTACCCGCGGAGCCGGTGGCCGCGGTTTAAATACCACTCCCTGAGGGATTTACTTCTTTTTTTTTTTTTTTTTTTTTTTTTTGTGATCGACTCCGTCCTCCGTGGGGAGGCACCCATGGGTGACCTGGGGCGGGGAGAGAAGCCGCCGAGCACCGGGGAGCTGCGAGTTTGCCGCCGCGGCTTTTTCGCAAAATAATCCGCAAAGCAGAAAAACGGCCCCCGTTTCCAAAACCGCTTCGGAGCGTTTGAGAAAAGCTGCTTCATCTTCCAGCCAAGCGCAGGGGACCGAGCCCCGCCAGTCCCGCGGGGCCACGGGCAGGGGGACGAGCAGGCCCGCCTGGGATTCCCTGCAGGAAACGAGATAACGAGCAGGAGGCAGGAAAAAAAAAAATAAAAATAAAAAAATTAGTATTTTCGGTGTTACGGTTTGCTCTCCCGTGTATCGGTCCCAGGCGGCTCCCCATCGTGCCCGGCCCTGCTGCGGGGCACCCCCCGGTCCTGGGATACCCCTCCGGGCAGGGCCCCCCCGGCTGGAACACGCGATGGAGCTGGCAAATTTACAAACGAGGCTTAAAACGTTTTATTTTTTTTTTCCTTTCTTTCTTTAAAAATATTTACAGATCTGAAATAATGCTTTTTTTAATTTTTTTTTTTTTTTCAAGAGGCAGGATAACAGGAGGGGAGGGGGGTGTCCCTCGCACCCCGGGCTCTCCGTTTACCCGTCCTTCCCATCAGTTTCGTTCCTCTGTCCCCGCCGCGGACGGGGGGGGGCCGAGATCCCTCAAGGAGCCCCCGCGGCGGCTCCGGCTCCGACGGGGCGGCCGCGGGGAGGGGAGCGCGGCGGCTCAGTAGTCGATTTTGTTGTAGAGGTTGTAGAGCGGTAAGGCCGAGAGGTTGCTGCCGGGGTAGTAGAGAGGGGCGGGGAAGGCGATGGACCGGGGCACCGGCACTCGGAGGAGGGAATTGTCTCTAAACACCAGCGGCATCCCCACCAGAGTCTGCGCCGAGGCGTGGGCCATGTTGGCCGCCTCCAGCTCGGCCGAGAGCTGCCGTTTCCACTTGTTCCTGCGGTTTTGGAACCAGGTCTTCACCTGGGTCTCGGTGAGCTGCAGGCTGGAGGCCAGGCAGGCCCGCTCCGAGCTGCTCAGGTACCGCTTCATGTCGAAGGTGGACTCCAGCTGATAGACCTGGCTGCGGCTGAACACCGTGCGCGTCTTCTTCTTGGCGGCCCCGGCCTGCCGGTCCCCGCCGTCGCGCTGCCGGTCCCCGCAGGAGGGCGAGGAAGGTCCCAGGGGTTTCTCCTTCTCCTCCTTACAGTCCTGGGAGGGGGGCGAGAGGAACGGCCCCCGCTCCCCGCTGCCCGCCGCCGCCGCTCCGCTCCCCTTGGCGCCGCCTGCAACAGAGCGACAGCGCGGGGGTCGCACGGCGGCCGGTACCGGCACCCCCCGACGGCTGAACCCCCCTCCCCCCGCCCCGTCCCGGCTGGGGGATGAACCGAGGCGAACCCCTGGGTAGGCACCCGCCTTCTCCGCTCCCGGTGGAAAACACAACCGACACCGGGGGAATCCATCCCAGACCGTGTTATCTCTGTCCTTCCATCACATGGATGGATGGACAGACGGACGGACGGACGGGCGGGTGGATGTGCATGCCTCAGTGAAGGCGGAGTGCCAGGTTAAGGATGCTTTCCTATCCGACGCGACCCGGCAGATTTAACTTTATAGCATTGCGTTTCACACACCGTTTAGTCAGAATTCGTGTTAAACAACAACCAAAAACAAAACAAAAAAAAAAAAAACCAACCAACCAAACAAACAAAAAAACAAACATCTTTCTTCCCCTTGACCGAGCGCTGTAAATAATCAGAATCTAAGAAAACAAGCGTTATCCACTGCGCTGTGCCCCTTCGGGAGAATCAACCCCGGGTGGAAAAAAAAAAATATATATACAACAAAAAAACAAGCCACCCTGGTTTTGACCAAGTTTCTTCCTCCTCCCTTCAGCCACGGACACGCAAACACGCTGTGCCCCGAAAGCAGGGGGGGTGCCACAGTGCCCCCCCCCCCCCCCCCTCCCTGGCGGGGGCCGGGCCCGAGCCCTCCGCGGCCCTTCCAGGTGGGGCCCGTCCGCCCCGTCCAGTCCCGTCCCAGTTACTCACCGAGACAGGTGAAGGTGAGGGGCTGGTGTTTGTGGCACGGCTCGGCGGGGCCCCGAGCTTCGGGGCAGAAGCAACCGCGGTGCTTCCAGCTCTCCTCCGGTTCCTCGTCCTCCGAGGAAAGGGAGAGGGTCCGGCCGCGGGTGGGCCAGGCTGCCGCCCTGCCGCCGACCTCCCGGGGAGGGGGCTCGGCGCTGCCGCTGCCCAGGATGGACTGGATGGTGAAACTGGAGATGGGAGCAGCCGCCGGACAGCCCTTGCTCGGGTCTTCTTTGCTGCTCATCCTGGGTTCATAAGAAAGCAGAGGAGGGAAGCTCTGGCTTTAGAGGCGCTTGGGGGGCCGGGGTGGACGGGAGGAGGGGGGTGGGGGGGCCGGGAGCTTGCCGTGAGCCGGTGGGGGGTTTGTTTTGGGGGGGTGGGGGTTCGGCGTGTGGCTGCCGGCTCTCCCCACGCCTGCCCAGGCGGACTGCATGCTCCTTCCCCCGCGTCCCTATTGATCTGCGGGCGGCGGGCGGCGGGGCTTCATTTGCATGGAGGTGGCCTCCGCCGCGCCAATCACGGCGGCGGCGGCCACGGAAAGTTTGGAAACCCGCGGGGTCCGGGGAGGATGTGAAAAGAAGGGGGGCTAGCGGGGCCGGGGGAAGCCCCCGTGGGGTCCTCACCGCCGTCCCCGGGGCTGGAGGGGCTACTCTGACCCCACGCCCCCGGGGGAGGGACGCTGAGCGCCAGCCATGCCTCCTCGCCTTCCACCTCGAGTGGGTGAGAGGGACGTGGGCCAAATGTCCTGTGCCGGTCGGGGGGGTGGGTGTTGGGATAAACGCCTTGTGCATATCTGGGGATCTTTACCCCTTCTGCTTATTAGAAGAGGGAAAAAAAAAAAAAAAAAAAACAACGCAGAAAACCCCAACAAACTGTTACGGCGTGTTGCCTGCTCGGCAGCACTGGGAAAACCTTGGAAATTGGGGTTTGCGCTGCAGCAGATAACAAATGTCTTACGAAATGTTTCCTGTGTTTCCTTCCCAGGGTCTGCAAGCCGCGCGGGGAGCGGGGAAGGAGGGGACCTCCTCCTGCATTTCCACATCAACTTTGTCAGGAGTCAGGGGTTCTTCCCCTCGGGGGGGGGAATAAATCACAGGGATCGCGGCGCTTCTCCCGCCACTCCTTCCCTTGGGAGTGGAAATCCAG